CTAGGAACACAAAGCCTTGTTTAATTTTTTAAAAACAGCAAAAAGATTGATTATTTAGAAAAGATCTTTCTCCTAGTCTTCTGTGAGAGAAAGAAATTAGAAAGATGGCAGAAATTATTAGCGACGTTCTACCTCTACAATTCATGTTCAGGACTGAAAATCTTCCTTTTGCATTCATTTTTGTCAGCGTTAGACTAAGTGACATGCGAGAGCCCTGTCAGCTCTGCAAGTCTGCTCTTTGAGAAATGACCAGCAGTCGTTACACGGCTGTGGGAAAGATGTAGCCAACAGGCCGAATCCAGCTGAGCTGTCAGTTTTGACGGCTTCTGCAGTACCTTTTGGTTCTGCCAATGCTCCCCCGGGGCCAGGGGGCACGCGGTTCTTCACTGCTTTCCTGTTGGCTCTCAAGGTGCATACACACCGAAAGATGCAAGGTTCTTCTTCCAACCGGCATGGCTGGGCCTCCCTCACTGGCTGCAGAGCAGTCTCACTGCTGACCCCTAAGACTGACCCTTGTCCACCCAGTTTTCCTGACCACCTTTCCTGAGGCTGAGGGGAAAGCCAGGGGCTCCCTCAGGCCCTACCTGTGGCTTCTTCAGTTCTTTTTAAAACATGAATCACGAAAAGCTCTCTACGTCTGATGGCCATTTTAAGATTTTAAAATTGTTTTAACATAAAAATATTATATTTTTTTCAAAAATACTCCAGGCTCTTTCTCTTATAAGTCATTTTTTTTTCTCCTGTAAAAAGTCCCCCTGCCCTGCCTTCTTACATAAAGCACTTATTATGTGCCAAAGTGCTCTTGAGTCCTAAGATCTGAAGCAAGTACGAGAAAGGTACAGAGGGAGGGAGGGAGAGAGAGCACGCCGGCGAGAAAGCGAGCACGAGCGCAAGGGGAGGGCAGGGCGGGGGGGGGCGGAAGGGAGAAAGCTGTCTACATGAGATTGCATCTTCCTGTCCACTGGGCTGCATCTCTTGAGAGTGCACTGAAAAAGGAGAGCTCACCAGATAAAAGGGAAAGGCAGAGGGAGGCGGCGCGGGGGCGACAGAGGGAAGAGACAACAAGCCCAAGACAGCTTCCATCTCAGACAGAAGGACCCCAGAAGACAGAATTCCAACTGATAGAAAAACCACCCAATCAACAAAGAATATTCTAGAAAATAGAAAGTGTTGGGATTACAAAGTTGCGTATTTCATCGGTACAAACTGGTCTTTGAACATCCTTTGCGAGAGCAACTGTAGTGTCCAAATTGTTAGGGAAAACAAAAACAAAATCCCAAGGAGGAGGGTTTTTTCCCTTCCCTGTTTGGTTTATCACAGCATTTTGCTTTTTTTTGGCACAGCTTTTTAAATTTCTTTCCATTCAGCCATCACAGAGCCTGTTCCGGGTGGAAACCAATCTGCACGCCTCGAGCTGGTGACTTCCTGCTTCACGGGCTGAATGTCCTCAGTGGAAACCATTCTATCCCCGTTTGATATGATTTGCTTGCCTTTTTAAAACTCCTTGATAAAGATTACGAAAACATATAGACTCCTGCAGCCAGAGACGAGTTGGTTTCAGAGTACACTTTAACGCAAGTCAAGTTCGTACAGTTTTGGAGCTGACAGAATTGTGTGTGAACAGAGCTGCAACCCTACACATTCACGGCTGGTCATTAGAATTCTTTTCTTTTTTCCAGAGTATTTTGTGGTTACTTCCGCAGATCCAAAACACATACCTGAAAGGAAAGACAAAGGACCTGTCATCCTGAGGGCTAACACAAAGATGCCTTCAGAGCACGCCCAAGCCAGCCCTTCACTAATGTTTACCAGTCAAGTTTACTGAAACACTGTCATGAAGGGGCAGAGAAGCTTTCATAACAGACTGGCATCTGGACATCAGACCAAGCAAATCCAAGGAAACAGCACAGAGCAGAAAGGCCAGGTTAAGGGCAATGCTAGGAATTTACAGAGTCGCAGAGACCACTGGCAGGGGTCCCAGAACAGACACCTGCAACCGTGGGGCAGATGACAACACAAGCCCAAGAACATGGCCTCTGACAACATTTGGGGACCACACTGACACTTGGCCGGTCAGCCAGAATGCCCCTTGCCCCAGAGGTCAGGGCAACCTCAAGTCCAGGGGAAAATAAGAAATCCAGATGCCCCGTGGGAGGAGAAGAGGGCCCAGGAGACCTGCAGGATGGCCACCAGAGAACCGGGCTTCATGGGCGACAACTGTGGCTGCCCTGTGCACGGTAGGAGGTTTAGCAGCATCCCTAAGCTCCACCCACGAGACGCCAGTGGCATCCCCATCATACACCACCTAATGACATTTCCAGCAACAATGCACCACACAGACCGCAGTGGTCCCGTAAGATTGTAACTGTATTTCTGCTGAACTTTTTCTGTTTAGATAGGTCTAGATGCACAGATGCTTATCATTGTGTTCTAGTTGCCTACAGTACTCAGCACGGTCACCTGCTGTCCAGGTTTGTAGCCTGGGAGCAATAGGCTCCACCATACAGTCTAGGTGTGTAACAGGTATTATTATCTAGGCTTGTGTCAGTCACTCTACGATGTTCAGACAAAAATAAAAGCGCCTAATGATGCATTTCCCAAAACGTTCCCAACACTAAGTGACGCATGACTGTAGTGACAACCTACAATGCCTCCAGATTTTGTCTAATGTCCTCAGAGATGCAGAATCACCCTGGCTGAGAACCACCAATTTGACTGAGAAAATGTTGACTAGAAGGACACTCTGGAAGGGACAAGGAGAAGGCCATTCCCAGATGTGGTATCAGCTCAGATGGGATCCAGCCCAGAAGCTTCCTTTGGCACTGGGTAGGCCCTTCAGGACACGAACGCTATATATGCCCCGGAAGCTCACTCAAGCATCAGCTGCCCGACTTCACTCTCCCCCCACACCCCCACTCCCCAGCAAACCAGAGGTGTTGCTTACAGAGCCGTCAGACGCGCTGGCGCCCACTTTGTCTCCTCGGGCGTTCCAGCATACCTCGAAGATGCCACCAGTGCCTCGGTAGCTGTAGACAAGATTTCCATTCTGCAAAGCAAAGCAGCCGTCACTTACAACGTAAAGGGCACCTGCAACAGATGCAGGTGTGGAATATGCGCCCCTCCTGCCCTGATGTTTGATCATGAACATTTCTGAGCATAGTGAAATTTAAGGTTTTCAGGAAGCACTCTAGGGGCTGTGGAGACGTGTCTCTAGGACTTCCCACCACAGGGAGTGAACCTGATTACTTATGTCCATGGAATCCACCACCACGTTTGCACGGATTCTTAGGCTGTGCCCAGCTGAGGCCTGATGGAGGCGGGAGACCATGGCAGTCAGACTCATCTGGTAGGTAAGTGGCTCATGGAGTCTCTATCAGCACAGCTGGGACTCTCTACAGACCTGCGAGCCTCCCTGACTCTTCCTACCCGTCTCGGCTCCTTCCCAGAGGTCAGACTGGCCTTATGGTTTAAGTTTTCCCTCCCCCTCTACCTCCCTCCCTGTTTCCATCACAGCTCTTCCCCCAACAAATCTCTCACCCATCTAATCCTGTTTTGGTGTCTGTTCCTTGGAGGACCTGAATGAATACAACATAATGAATACCCCCACCCCAGTAGCAATGAAATTGACTGTAATTCATGATTAAATGTATTAACATCAATGAAGTTAAAATGTACATATTTTTGGACATTTGAAAGAACGAATGCATAATATACATGTAATGCAAAACACTACAGACCATTGGCTTCTGGTTTAAAACAGCATTAACTTGACAAATCTAAGAGGTGGGGAAAGCAGAGGGTTTTGAAAGAGTTGAATAAGGCCAGGCGAGGCGGCTCACCCTGTAATCCCAGCACATTGGGAGGCCGAGGTGGGAGGACTGCTTGAGCCCAAGAGTTCGAGACCAGCCTGGGCAACATAGTGAGACTTCACCTCTACAAAAATTAATTTAAAAAAATAAAAAAAGAGAAAGAGTCGAATAACCCTTCACTCATGATTAACTAATGGTGACGGGCAGAAGAAATCTGAAGACTGAGACCAGGAGGGCTGTCCCAAATCCTCTGCTCAACTGCGCTCCTTAAAGGGCAGTGTTCTATGAACAGAGAGGGATGCATGCCAGCAGTATTATAAATAAGTATTTTTGTACTTACAGAAAGATTAAGTGTAATCTTTTTTTTTTTTTTTTTGAGACAGAGTTTCACTCTTGTTACCCAGGCTGGAGCGCAATGGCGCGATCTCGGCTCACCGCAACCTCCGCCTCCTGGGTTCAGGCAATTCTCCTGTCTCAGCCTCCTGAGTAGCTGGGATTACAGGCACGCGCCACCATGCCCAGCTAATTTTTTGTATTTTTAGTAGAGACGGGGTTTCACCATGTTGACCAGGATGGTCTCGATCTCTTGACCTCATGATCCACCCGCCTCGGCCTCCCAAAGTGCTGGGATTATAGGCTTGAGCCACCGCGCCCGACAAGATTAAGTGTAATCTTTAAGATTTCTCTTAAGAAAAATCCTAAGGATTTCTTAACTGGGCACAGTGGCTCATGCCTGTAACCCCAGCACTTTGGGAGATCAAGGCAGGTGGATCACCTGAGGTCAGGAGTTCAATACCAGCCTGGCCAAAATGGTGAAACCCCATTTCTACTAAAAACACAAACATTAGCCGGGTGTGGTGGTGGACACCTGTAATCCCAGCTACTCCAGAGGCTGACGCAGGAGAGAATTGCTTGAACCTGGCAGGTAGAGATTTCAGTGAGCCGAGATGGCGCCACTGCACTCCAGCCTGGGCAATGAGAGTGAAACTCCGATTAAAAAAAAAAAAAATCCTAAGGATTTCTTTGATTTATAAAAAAGGGTTGAAACAATTCAGTGAATTCTTGGCAACAGGCCGTACCTAACTGATCATGTCCATGTCATTTTTTGATGATCGATGTCTTTTTTAGAAATCCACTCATTACTATTTCTAGCAAGCATTTCATCAACAGAGACTCTTGCACACTAGTCCTGAGGTGTGTGCATCCCAGAGGATCATCTACTGCTGTGGGGCTGGGCTTGGCATCAGGTTGGCTCTATGCAGGGTCCACATTTCCTTCCCTGCCCTGAGAAGATGCGGTTCATGTGAGGTTCCTGGGAAGCCTGTGATCTCAGTGGACCCCTTGCCAGTGAACAGGGCTCATTGCCCGTGAGCCCACAAGGGGACATGAACTTCAGGATGCAAATCCCCTTGAATATCAGCCAAGCCAAAAGGAACCAAGAAGGCAGTGCAGATGAAAGGGGGCGGGGGAAGGCCGTGTAATCCCTCCGTCCTGAGGTTAAAGGGACTCCTTTGTTATTTCCAACAGCTCCTAGCGTATCAGCACTTCTCTCTTCCCTTAGAACAGAATCCACTGCTGACTGCCCTATGCAATCCTTTATGCTCTGCAGTGGTACTTCCCATCCATTTCTACTCTTTCTAGGTGGAATTCCCCTATCCTCAGGTGTGGCCCCAGACACCCACAGCAGCCACCTTTATTTAAATCCTATGTCCTTTCAGTCCCTGCTAAAAGGACACCCCAATACTGACATATCTTATGTCCTCAAACAGAAACTACTTTCATTTGAAAAATTAAGACTGGGCGCAGTGGCTCACGCCTATAATCCCAGTACTTTGGGAGGCCAAGGTGGGCAGATCACCTGAGGTCAGGAGTTCAAGACCAGCCTGGCCAACATGGTGAAAACCTGTTTCTATTAAAAAAACAAAAATTAGCTGGGCATGATGGTGGGTGCCTGTAATCCCAGCTACTCGGGAGGCTGAGGCAGGAGAACTGCTCAAACCCGGGAGGTGGAGATTGCAGTGAGCTGAGATCGTGCCCCTGCACTCCAGCCTGGGCAACAGAGTGAGACACTGTCTCAAAAACAAAACAAAAACAGAAAAGAAAAATGGAAGTGGCATGACAGCTGTAAACACATGTTCCTTCCCACTCCCTGATCTGCTCCGTGGCGAGCCGCAGGAGCTGCTGTGGGCAGAGGATGTGGAGCTGCCTTGACCCCATTAGCTGGTCTCCCAAACCCACCCTCCAACCTCAGTATCTAGAGAGCGGCATTTCAGTGATAACCGCTATGAAGAGGAAGAGGCAGGTGGAAGGTTTCGTGCCATGGACTCAGAAAAGTGAAGGCAGTGGCTCCTTCAAGGAAGAACACGTGCCAAGGCAAGGGCTTGGGAATCAAATGGCCAAGAGCCCTGAGGAGGGTAGACACGACAGCCTCCCTCAGGAAGGGGAGCTAGCTGCCAGAGGTGTCTGGTGGGGGAAGAGCCCACAGCCCACGTGGGGTGCACGGCGGATGGCATCCGGGGATGGCATCAGTCCGGGGAGCCTGGGCGTGCTCACCTCCCTCCAGGGCACTGCTCTGAGGCAGGGGCACTGGAATCGTGGCTGTTCTTGTATCCCTTTCTAAAAGGATTCGGTTTAGGGGTCAGGAGCTTACCTGAGTATTCCAGATATGGACACACTTGTCAAAGGATCCACTGGCCAAGTACTTCCCATCAGGGCTGAAAGCTACGCTGTAGACAGGCTCCTGATGCTTCGTGAGCGTGTGGATGCAGACGCCTCGCTCCACGTCCCACAGTCTCACCGTAGAGTCAAACGAAGCACTAGCAGTGGGAGAGAAAGCAAAATCACAAACACATGGTGGTTTCTAACAGTTCTCCATAATGTAGGTCAGATCTCTAGGAGCTGTTCTTCCCAGCCTTTGTGTTTCAAAAGACAATCAACTGAGGAATTTTGTCTTCTAAAATGTAACTCACAAGTATTAAAAACAGAACCATGGTCAGTAAACAAAGAGAAAAAAGTTGTAATGTTATTATCAGGGAGACAACTGGATATCTACACTTGTTTCTGCACTTTTGTTTCTGAGATGGGGTCTTACTGTGTTGCCCAGGCTGGGGTGCAGTGGCATGATCCTAACTCACTGCAGCCTTGAACTCCTGGGCTCGAGCGGTCCTCCTGCCTCAGCCTCAGCCTCAGCCTCAGCCTCAGCCAAGAAGCTGCAACCATTGGTCCACGCCCAGCTAATCTTTTCGTTTTTTATGTTTTGTAGAGATGGGGGTCTCGCTATGTTGCCCAGGCTGGTCTTGAACCTCTGAGCTCAAGACATCCTCCCGCCTCCCCCAAACTGTTGGGATTACAGGTGTAAGCCACTGCACCCATTCCTGTTTCTGAGTTTTCTATAGATATAAATGGTAAACATTTTTGTAGAATATTTACCAAGTTTCCTAAAATGTCCCTACAATTTAAAACATGACATCTATTATTATCAACTAAATTAATGCAGATAGCCGTATTTGGAAACACAGCAAAATAAGTGAATAAACATTTAAAAAACTTTTTATGCCAGGTACAATAAACCATGCCTCTAATCGTAGTGCTTTGGGAGGCTGAAGTGGGAAGATTACATGAAGCCAGGAGTTCAAGACCAGCCTGGCTAACATAGGGAGATCCTGTCTCTAAAAGGAAAAAAAAAATTTAATCAAACAAGAATTAAAATACAATTGTACCCACATATCCATTATGGAAAGCTGCAAATTTTAGTAATTTTCAAATTTAAAACAATAATATCTATCACAAAGCTATTGTCTGGCTTGCTTTCTTTCAACAGGGATGGAGTTTCCCTCTTGTTGCCCAGGCTGGAGTGCAATGGCGCAATCTTGATTCAATGCAGCCTCCGCCTCCTGGGTTCAAGTGATTCTCCTGCCTTAGCCTCCTGAGTAGCTGGGATTAGAGGCAACCACCATCCCTGCCTAATTTTTGTATTTTCAGTAGACATGGGATTTTACCACGTTGGCCAGACTGGTCTCAAACTCCCAACCTCAGGTGATCTGTTCGCCTTGGCCTCCCAAAGTGCTGGGATTACAGGCGTGAGCCACTGCGTCCAGTTGGGATGCCCCTTTTATACTTGCTGACTAAAAGGATAATTTATGCTCCTAATAGTACCATGTGACGCAAAGGCATCTTCTGAGTCACCACAAAACGACTGTAGTGTGTAGTACTATCTCACAGTAATTTAGGTGGATTTTGTGAAAATTACTTGAAATATGAGAATTAGGGCCTATGTGTTCTTTGATTTTTTGGCTCTATCTCACAGTGGATGCAGGAATTCCATTCAGTCCTTTCTAAGACATGACCTTAATTCGAGCACTGTCAACAAGAGTCCATGCTGCCTGGCTTGCTGTTTCTAATTGCGGCTCTGCAGTCATGCTGGTTTTTTTTTTTCCTTCTCTCTCTCTTTTTTAAAGAGACACGGTGTTGTTCTGCTGCCCAGGCTGGAGTGCAGTGGTGTGATCATTGCTCACTGCAGCCTCAATCTCCTGAACTCAAGCAATCCTCCAGCCTCAGTCTCCCGAGTTGCTGGGACTACAGGCACATGCCATCACACCTGGCTAACTTTTTGTAGAGATGGGGTTTCACCATGTTGCCCAGGCTGATCTTGAACTCTTGGGCTCAAGCAATCCTCCTGCCTTGGCCTCCCAGAGTGCTGAGATTATAGGCATAAGCCACTGTGCCTGACCCAAAACCACCCTTACCTCAAAGGCAGGTGTTACTCGATAATTCTATCTTGGCCCCTTCAAAGTGAGCTACCACTTCATTTCCTTTGAAGGGCTTTAACATGCATGTGTGGACACACTTTAGCAAAATTTCCTGTTGTCTTTGTGTAGCACAGAGCTGTACTGGCTGTGCTGCCTGCCCTTACCTTGCCAACATGATTTTGGAGTTTGGGTTGCTGGTGGCGGGCCCGCTGGGGCTCCACTTGATGGTGTAGATCTCTTTGCTGTGAGCCTGAAGATCGTGGACACACACCTCCTGCTTCATGCTCCAGATCTAGAGGACATACCAGCCACAACATGAGCAAAAGCCATTCCCGCATCTGGGAACGATGTGGCATCATTCTTCCCGGGCACACACATGAGGCTGCTGACCCGCAGTGGGTGAGTGGTGCAAAGTGGTGAGAAAAGCTGTGGGGAGGCTGGGATTCTCAGCGAGACCCTGACTGAGAAATCGGAGTTCACGGATGATAGAGGAAGTGAGCGGGGTTAGTAATAAATAATCTTCACAGAACAGTGACAGTGAGACTGGCTTGAGCACCCGGGGTTGTCTGGAATTAAACAGCCCACCCCTTGCAATGCCGATTCTACCTTCAATGTCATGTCATCCGAGCAGGACGCCAACAAAATTCCAGAAGGATCCCATTTGATGGCGTTGACCTCATTCTGAAAGAGAAGAGACACGCTGAAAAAGACATCGGGGCCCGAGTAGATGAGGTTGCCTTGCAGCAGGGGGCAGCAGCGTGCCACCGTCACTGCAGAAGGTCTTCGGCTTAGGCCTGGCATCAAAGAGCACAGCACAAGCAGCCATCTAGTTTCCTTTTTCTCACTTTGCCTTTTTCATATACACAAAACCACAGCCATATACCACACATCACCAGCCACCCTCACCCATATTTCGTTAAGAAAAAAACATTCTCTGCTAGGAAGGAAGGTAAGTGAATTCACATACTATAAAACGCAGCAAATAAAATCAGTAAAACCAGTTAATTTTAAAACTGGACTTTGAAAATCATTTTCCTATGTGATTTCTTTTGTTTTGTTTTCTGAGACAGGGTCTCGCTCTGTCTCCCAGGCTAGGGTGCAATGGCAGGAACACAGGTCCTTGCAGCATGAACCTCTTGAGCTCAGGCAATCCTCCTGCCTCAGTCTCCCAAGTAGCTGCGACCACAGGCAGGCACCACCATGCCCAACTATTTTTTGTTTGTTTGTACTTTTATAGAGACGGGGTTGCCCAAGCTGGCCTTGAACTCTTGGGCTCAAGTGATCCTCCCACCTTGACCTCCCAAAGTACTGGGATTACAGGCGTGAGCCACCATGCAAGGCCTCTTATGCACTTTGGATGCAACAGCTCCTCCCCGTGTCTGTACTCATTACAAGGCATTTCTCTCCTACAGGTGAGTGGAGGCAGGCGGAGGGGTAAACATGAGAAGTGAAGGTATTGTGGAGTTATTCGGGGTAAGGGCTGATCCAGGTGGAAGATGGGCGACCAAAATGCACATACAGGCAGACACACATGTGCAAGGAAAGTGTGAGGCAAGGGCTGAGCGGTGCGCGCGCACGCATGCACACACACACACACACGGCACAGGCAAAATCCTGGTTGGGGGCTCATGATCGGCACAGCCAGGCAGCGAAAAGCACAGGGATTGGAGTGCTCTAACCCGGAGGCTCAGGGCACCTGGGGACCCTGATGCTAAACCCTGGAGGATAAAGGTGAATCAATGTCGGGGCCAAGGGAAAAGGGGACATGCCTGGGATAGGTATGCATAAAAGCAGCACCTGCGGCAAAGGCTCAGCTGGGGAACAGCCTGCCCAGGAGAAATGAGGGGACAAGACATGCCAGCTCAGGGCTCCCTCAGGGGTGACTATAGGGCCCCATATGTTCAGTATAGTCCCACTATGTGACACCTGCTGTCCCGGCCTAATGGTTAACTAATTTCACACTCATAATGAATTTTCTAAATTTCACACTCGTAAGGGCTCCAAGTTGGATAAATTGTATGGTCATGCTGGTTTCTAAGGACACAGAGTTTTGAAGGGTGTGAACTGGACAGTGACAAGGCCACATCTGTGTTCCATGAGGCCCAGGTGGCCCGGGAAAGGGAGGAGGAAGAAGCTTGGCAGCCAAGGAGTAGGCTGCTGCAAGAGCCTGGGAGGATGGAGGGGGCCGGCCAGAGAGGGGGCTGGGGGTGTGAGTGTACGCTCACGAGCACACGCATGTGTCTATGAACGCACATGTGTGTGCAAGGCCAGCGAGGTGGCTGTGACTACAACTGTTCAGAGGAAAACCCACGGGCCCAGGAATGTGGAGTTGGTCACTGCAGGCTGTCCCTAGCCAAACCCACGCAAAGGAACAAATAACTTCTTGGGAGCGGACCCCTCGTTCTGCAATGCAAGGCCCAGTTCCTGGACCGTCTCATGGGTCTCCATTTAACCCCCTGAGCTGGAGCTTTGTTTAGGGCCATTGGCTGCATTAAGATCCACTTAAAGGGCCAAGGCCTGTGCTGGTGGCAAGGTCCCAGGCAGGCCACCTGGGAACCACAGATAGTGTGTGCAGCTCTATTAAAAACCTGCGGATAGTCCAGGGTTAGAGGAGAAATAGGTTTAGATGAGAAGAACACAGTCAGTGTGGACCCAAACTGATGTTACCTGGATGATAGGTGCCCGTGCTCTAAAAGTGCCTTCCTTTGGGACAGGGACCCCTGGACCAGGGGCGGAAAGGGGTGGGCACTAGGGGAATGAGGACAAGGGAATTTACCTTAGTTAAGTTAGTGGGATGATGGCAAATATCCAGGGACTGTGATCATCCTCCCCTGCTTTAATAGGGGACCCTCCCCCCACTGTGAAAAGCTATTCTGGGTGCTGGTGAGAAAATGCAAGATACCATGGACACAGCGTTGGCGTGCTCTGCATTTTCTGGAAGAGGCAGATACGCAGGCCAGCAGCTACTGCCAGGCTGTGGCATTCACATGGGCAGTGGGAGCTCAGGGGGTGCCATTAATCCTCCCCAGGGCATGCAGAGGACATATGAATGGGCCTGGAGGGTAGGGAGGATTCTGTGTCGGAAAGAGAGCTGCTGTGGGGTCTAAGGTGGGGAGCGTTTCAGGCAAGGCTCAGCGCGGGGCAAGGTGCTTGGCTGCATGTGTCTTTAGGAGGATAGAGGCACAGGGTGTTTTTGGACACCCAGGAGGTCAAGGGTAGGAAATGGGTTTACCAACAGATTGGAGATTGCAGAAGGTTAGAAACCGTAGGAATAGGCTAATCTGAGAGAGATTTGGTAAAAGACCCGGAAGTGCCTCGGAGGCCACACTAAGGAATTTGCTAAGTCAGCTGTTGTTCACACTGTTGTTCCCTGGGATATAATTTTTTTTTTCCAGCTTCTGCTTGCCTTTAGAATTTTCTCTGCCATTGATTCTGGTGTTTGATGACCATATGCCTAGGTGGACAGTGTGGTTCCGTTTGTATTTGTTCTGCTTGAAATTTGCTGAGCTTCTTGGATTGAATATTGATGTTTTCCACCAAATTTAGGAAAACTTGGCTGTTACTACCTCAAATGATATTTCTGTTCCATTCTTTCTTCTCTCCCCATCAAGCGCATAGGTTTAGGGTGCCTGAAACTGTCCCATAAGCCATTTTGCCTTTATGCAATTTTTCAATCTTTTATCTGTTCTTCAAATTGGCCAATTTCTATGAGCTCTGACCTTACTTCTGCAATCTCCCATTTGCTGGTAAACCCACTGATGTGGTTTACATCTGTGTCCCCACCCAAATCTCAGGTGGAACTGTCATCCCCGATGCAGAGGTGGGGCCCGGCGGGAGGTGTCTGGATCACGGGGGCAGATCCCTCATGGCTTGCTGCTGTCTTCGTGAGTTCTTGTCCTTTGAAAGTGCGTGCCCCCCCGCCCCCCTTCTCCCACCTCTGGACCCTGCTCTGGCCATGTGAGGTGCCTGCTCCTTCAACTCCTGCCCTGGCTACAGGCTTCCTGAGGCCTCCCCAGAAGCAGTTGCTGCCATGCTTCCTGCACAGCCTGAGGAACTGCGGGCCAGTTAAACCTCCTGTCTTCTAAATTACCCACTCTCAGGCATTTCTTCAGAGCAATGAGAGAAATGAGAACTGCCTAACACACCCACCTATTAAGACTTTCATTTCAGACACTGTATTTCTCAGTTCTCAATTTCTTATTTTTTAAAGACACAGGGTATTGCTCTGTTGCCTAGGCTGGATTGCGATGGTGCTATCACAACTCACTGTAGCCTTCAACTCCTGCGACGGGATACAGGTGTGCATCATCCTACGCAGCTACTTTTTAAAATTTTTTGTAGAGACAGAGTCTTGCTACGTTGCCCAGGCTGGCCTCAAACTCTTGGCCTCAAGCAATCCTCCGGCCTCAGCCTCCCAAAGTGCTGGGATTACAGGCATAAGTCAGTGCACTTAGCCTCCTTTTTTTTTTTTTTTGTTTTTTAATGACATAGCTTTTTCTGTTCACTGCGGATTCGCCCCATCTATTCATTTATTGTGAGTGTCGTTTCCTCTACGTCCTCTACATGTTTCTCATGCGACCTTAAAGGCTTTGCTGCCAAATCCACCATCTAGGTCACTTCTGGATGAACTGTTCTTGCTGCCCACCCCAAACTGGGTCAATCCAACTACCATGGTTACCATGGGGTAACCATGGCAGCTCAAATAGCCAAAGGCCGCAGAGGAGCTGGTTTGCTGCTGCAGTATCTTTTAATTCTACGTACACAAGAACTGGCTCCCACATCACATTCTCACGAATTCGAGTCCAGTGACGAGAGCTCTCACTTACTGTGTGTCCTTGGAAGGTTTTGACTGGGCGTTCACAGCCGAGCCTGCACACATGGATACACATGTCTGTGCTACAGGAGGCAAAGGTCGTGTTGTTCTGCCAGTCCACATCAAGGGCAGGGGCTGCAGCAGGGAGGGAGGACACCTGCAGTTATTCACTGTGCACAGCTCCGTGGATTTACAACAACGAAGAGCACAGTCAGGAAGCCTGTTTAGTTTACTTAAATATTTATTCTAGAGACAGAGCCTGCTCTGTCACACAGGCTGGAGTGTAGCGGTGTGCTCACGGCTCACTGCAGCCCAGAATTCCTGGGCTCAAGGGATCCGCCCACCTCAGCCTCCTGAACAGCTGAGACTACAGGCGTACACCACCAGGCCTGGTTAATTTAAAGAAATTTTTGTAGAGACGAATTCTTGTTATGTTGCCCAGGCTGGCTTTGAACTTCTGACTTCAAGCTATCCACCCACCTCGGCCTCCCAAAGTGTTAGGGTTATAGGTGTGAGCCACTGTGCTCACCCAAGAAGCCCCATTTAGTAACATGATAAAAACGTCTCAAGTGTGAACAGTCTCCTTCTTTCTAAGACCTTAAAGACCCTCTCCTGCCATGCTGGCAAGGATGACAAGATGTCCTGGGAGAGAGGCTCCGTGACACTTCCTGCACCCCATGGCCTGCAGAATCTCCCGCTCCCATGGCACAGGTAAGGGCAGATGAGAGAGCCTGCCTGCTCTGCACCTTGCTGCCCCCAGCGGTATCTCTGCGGTGAGTTAATTCGATTCGATTTTAGACAGAGAGAAGAAAAAGGGAAATATTTCATGTCCTATGTTCAAGATACCTCGATAGCAAAAAAACTCTCCGGTAACACATTAAGGTATCCCCCTGACTAGGGGATAATTAAAGTCAACAAGAACCCCTTTGAATCTACCAATATGGAAACTCATGTGAGTTTTTTTTTTCTTAGAGATGAAGTCTTGCTGTTACCCAGGCTGGAGTGCAGTGGCACCATCATAGCTCACGGCAGCCTCAAACTCCTGTGCTCAAGCAATCCTCCTGCCTCGGCCTCCCAAGTAGCTGGGACTACACATTTGTACCACCACTCCCAGTTAATTTTTTGAGACAGTATCTTGCTCTGTCACCCAAGCTGGAGTGCAGTGACACAGTCTTGGCTCACTGTACCCTCAGTCTCATGGGCTCAGGTGATTGTGATTCTCCCACCTCGGCCTTCCTAGTAGCTGGAACTACAGGTGCATGCCACCATGCCTGGTTCATTTTTCAAAGACGTTTTTGGTAGAGATGGGGTCTTGCAGTTTTGCCCTGGCTGGTCTCAAACTCCTGGGCTCAAGTGATCCTCCCACCTTGGCCTCCCAAAGTTCTGGGATTACAGGAATGAGCCGCTGTACCAAACCATGTGTGTTTCTTAAAGGCAGTCAGCGATGAACTGAGAAAAATCCAGCTTTCTCTGAACATGCTAACCATCGGTTGCCCCTGCCCTTCCTTGGTCTTTAAATTAAGAGGTGCAACCCTCCATGTATTTATCCTCCTTAATCACAGGGACCCCATTCGCTTCCCCATCCAGCTCCACGCCCAGGCAGAAGGTGTGGCTGGGACAATGCGGGTGTCAACAGTGGTCTTTTCCATAGCTGAGGCCATCTCTTTTATGTTCCATCCCCAGCAGCATGTTTCATGACAGCCCCACGATTCTTGACCCATTTTCTTGGTTCTTGTTTACAACATCGCCTGAGCCAAACAGCAAACTTCTGGTCCAGCCTCTGCATTTGGGCATGTGATTAATACACCTGGAAATGTGACAATCTGGTGAGTGGTCCAGGAGATTGCCACCAGCACTTCCATCTAAAGCAAGCTTGTTCAACCCACAGCCCATGGCCCAGGATGGCTTTGAATGTGGTCCAACACAAATTTGTAAACTGTCTTAAAACATTAAGAGATTTTTTTGTGATTTTTTTTCAGCTCATCAGCTATTGTTAGTGCTAGTGTATTTTATGTTAGCCCAAGACAATTCTTCTTTCAATGTGGCCCAGGGAAGCCAAAAGATTTGACATTCCTGATCTAAAGAGAGGGCCCCTGCCCTCAGGTGATTAGCCCTACTGAGTCAGCTCCTTCAAACCAGGATGCTTGGAACCATGTGGGTAAATGGCCAGTAACAGGGCTGAGCTACGCTGGGAGGCTCTGTGCCCACCTTCCCATGCATGGGCCAGTATGGGTCAATAGCCCTCATTCTTCTGGACCCAGCCAGCCATTTTCCTTTTGAAATACTTAGAGGTTTATACAGGAAGCTGCAAAGGTAACACAGAGAGGTCCCTTGTCTCCTTCACCTAGGTTCCCCTAAGGGTTACATTTTGTGTTGCTGTAGCATTGCATTCAGACTGGAAAGTTGACACTGATGCAATCTGCCTGTAGAGTGCTGTCCATTTTGTCACGTGGGTAGATGTGTATTGCTGCAATTGAGACCCAGAAGTGTTTCGTCGTCACTAAGATCTCTCTCAGGCTACTGCATCGGCACACACGCCTTCCTAAACTCCCGCACCGCTGATCCGTCCCAGGTTTCTATCATTTTATCATCATGAGAATGTTACAGAGCATGCAACCTTTTGAGACTGGCTTTTGTCACTCAGCAAAATGCCTCTGAGATCTCTCCTGGCTGTCATGCATCAATAGCGTGTACCTTTCCTCAGTGAGTTCCTTTCCTTGGCAGAGTTTTACTCCATCATAAGGCTTTGAGCTAAGGCTTCCTGCCGACGGTGACTGAGGGCGCCCCCATGAGGCGTTCCTGGGGAAAAGCTAATGGGGCAAGGCAGTCACCCCATTAAACACCGAGTCTGCTACAGCCACAGAAAGGCGCTCTTCACAGCTCTTCCCAGCTGCGTTTCACCTGGAAGAGTGAGCTTCTTCTCTTCATCTTGAACAGTCTCTAACACACGGATTGACACCAAAAAGAGAGCAAGTAACGCCTAGATATGTCTGACCTGCTGACGGGAATTGGGTCTACCTAATGGCCAGCCAGATTACAGATGAGAAGCTCATGTAATTTAGAACAAAGAGGTTTGTGGTCTTCCTGGGTCAGCTGGGTAGAAAACCCTTCCATAGGCCCCTGGGGACACTTTGGGAAAGATTATTTTCTGCTGAAAGACTTTACAGATGAATTCTTAAGATACAAGCATTAGAGGAACCTTATTGATGTTCACCTCAGGCAGATTTTTCTCTGAAAAACAGAAGCCAGAGCTTTCTGTATCAGACATCCTGCCTCACGCCCGCCCCAAGTCTGCATGACTGGGATTCTAGGGCTGTGAACCTGTCACGGCATCCTTCCTGCCTACAAAGGTAGGTTTCGGCATTTAAGCCAAACGTGACGGAACTCCATCGGGAACGGCATTCTCGCTAGTCACCTGCTTTGATTTGCTGTCTAGAGCACAGAGTAGTAAGTGTCTGGCGTAGAGATGACACACAGATCACAGGCTGTAGGTGGGGTTGCCAGGGGCCGGGGGAAAGACGACATGAGTATAGGGCTTCCCTATGGGGTGAACGACACTTTCTGGAGGGCCTAGTGCACGTGCTGCTTGCATTGGGAGCCTTTTGTCTCTAATATGCTCAGTGCCTTCATTAACAGTGTTCAATTAAAGCAACACCAGTAACAAATTTCACTGGCACACTTGAGAGGTGTGTGTGGTGTGGGCCCCAAGCTGTGCAGGAGTGGCCACAGAGGAGATGCTCTCTCTCTCCAGGACAGCAGAGCAGAAACAGTGTCCTCCCTGAGTCTCCCTCTCTCTCTGAGCTGCCTGTATGAGGAGGAGTCCCCACTGAACTGCTGCATGGAATATAACAGACGTGGGTGCCTATGCATCTGACACAATTGTGCCTCGACACGACCTTCGGCTCCTGATCTTGTTTCCTGCAGGGCCATGTCCTCTGCTTGGAGCCCTCCCCAGGCACTGATGGGCTGTGCTGTCTTGGACAGTCGTTGGGGTTAGCCCTCCCATTCAGAACATCACTTCAACATCCCAAGCTGCCTGACAAGACACTCAGATCTCCTCCAGGACAATGCCCAGAGACAGCTGATAAGGTAGTCAACTTTCACCCTACACATTTAGGGATTCCTTCAAGACAGATCAGGCATTTGCCATTAAGGGAAGTGGTACCTATCCCCTTCTGCCCACTCTAAGCCAGTCTAAAGTCTTCAAGTAGTCTATTAGGTCTGTGGGTGGCCATCTGTCTTTGTTTTAAGAGGCCAAATCTAACAACAGGACTGAGTTACACAGAGGAGGAAGTTGCGAAAGAAAATGAAGAAACATTTTGGGAGACCAAGGTGGGTGAATCACCTGAGGTCAGGAGTTTGAGACCAGCCTGGCCAACATGTCGAAACTCCGACTCTACTAAAGATACAAAAATTAGCTGGGCGAGGTAGCGGGCACCCGTAATCCCAGCTACTCGGGAGGCTGTGGCAGGAGAATTGCTTGAACATGGAAGGCAGAGGTTGCAGTGAGCCGAGATCGCACCACTGCACTCCAGCCTGGGTTACAGGGCGACACTTTGTCTCAAGAAAACAAACAAACAAACAAAAAAAACCACGAAGAATCAGGTGGGAATCTGGAAAATTGGAATATCTAGACTCCAGACCTCTGGCCGTCGCATGTGGCCTGGGCTGGCTCCAGTGCACAAAGGGATGTGGTTATGTCCAGAGCAGTGGCCGTGCAGGAAGGCACTAACACCACAGGCCCGAGGCCGCTCTCCCTATAGAGGCCTGCTTGCAAGGCCGGCCCTTGGCTAGTGACTGAGAATTTAGATTTCCGGAGCATTCCCACCCTTCCCTAACAGACACTCACTCTGCCAACACTTGTTTGTGCAAACCGTGTGTTTATGCTATGCACCTGCTTTCCTTCTGGGGGTCTGCGGTTTTGGCTTGTACTAGGCATTGGGTGCCTACATGGCCAACCCCCAATAAAAACTCTGGGCACTGAGGCTCTATGGAGCTTCCCTGGTACAAAACACTTCACAGGCATAGTTACAACTTATTCCTGGAAGAATTCAGCATGGCCTGTGAGAGTCCACTGGGAGAGGAGCCTTCAAAGCTCTGGATTTGGCTGTGCGCACCATTTCCCTTTGCTAAGGTTACACTAAATTCCTGTGCTGTTAGAAACCTTAGTTGTAGGTTTGCTGCGTCCTGGGAGTCCTCGCAGCCAACTGCCAATCCTGGGGGTGGTTTCAGGGAGCTCCCAAAATAGCATCCCTCTTAGAACAGCAAGAGGAAGGAGTCTGTGCTGCTTCTGTGGCTGGCTCACTGCTGTGTTTCAGAGCTCTGAGCAGGTGGGTGCTAAGGTCATCTATATCTTGCAAACCTTAAGAGCAACCAATGTTTGCCACAAAATGGGTCTCCTTCTGACCAGTGAGGCCCCTTGGGTGCTATACTCTGTGCATTCACAGTTACTTTATGGGGCATTTCATGTAACTCTAAATTATTATTATTTATTTTTATTTATTAGAGACAGGATCTCATTCTGTCACCTAGGCTGGAATGCAGTGGTGCAAACGTAACTCACCACAACCTTAATTTCCTGGCTCAAGCAATCCTCCTGCCTCAGCCTCCTGGGTAGCTAAAACTAGAGGTGTGCACCACCACACCCAACTAACGTTTTATAATTTTTGTAGAGAAGGGGTCTTGCTTTGTTGCCCAGGCTGGTCTACGACACCTGGTCTCAAGTGACCCTCCCATCCCAGCCTCCCAAAGTGCTGGGATTACAGGCATCAGCCACAGTGCCCAGCCTAATTTTGAATTATTATTATGATTAGTTTTTGAGACAGGGTCTGGCTCTTTTGCCCAGGATGGAGTGCGGTGGCACAGTCTCTCGGCTCACTGCAACTTCCACCTCCTGGGCTCAAGCCATCCTCCTACCTCGACCTCCCGAGGGGCTGGTACTACAGGTGTGCACCAACATGCCTGGCTAATTACTGTATTTTTTGTAGAGATGCTTTTCATCACGTTGCTCAGGCTAGTCTTCAACTCCCGAGCTCATGCGATCCACCTGCTTCAGCTTCTCAAAGTGCTGGGATTACAGGTGTAAGCCACTGGGCTCAAGCTGAATTATTATTTCTGAATTACAAAAAAACAAACAAAAAAACTCACCCGAATGAAAAGGAAACTGCTGTTTGGCTTCTCCTGTGTGAGCATCCCAAATTATTGTCGTCTGTGCTCCGCAAACAAAGGAAAAGGTTAGTAACTATTCTTGCAAAGTTCTCTGGAAACATTTATCATATAAGAAAAAGACAGTGAGCCCCTCTCCTTAGAAACTGACACTTTTCAATACAGACAGAAAGTGAGCCTCATGGGTACTTTCAGTTTCCTCAGATCCACAATAGAAAGAAAGAAACGTAAAATTCATTAGCAATCTATTATATTTCACTCCAATAATACCCCCAAATATTACAATTTCAACATGTAATCAGTATCAAAACCCTGCCGGGATAGTTGTCTTCCTTTTCTCCCAGACTACATCATTAAAGTACAGCATGCTTTATACTTAACAATCTGGATGGCCACATCTGATGAACTCATCAGCCACAGATGCTGGCTCTCCCTTAATTGATTTATGCCTGAGGTTGCAATTTTTGAATTTTTGCAATCAGACCTTGGCAATGGCCCTGAGCAGTAGGATATAAATAACTCCCACATGCTTGGTGTTCCAATAATGGAACACTAGGCATAAATGGGTTTAAGGATAGAGCAGCCGTAACCAATACTTGCAAAAACTACCAAAATTCACAGGAATTCCCCCTCATCTCCAAATTCAGAAAACTGTAGAAAAACCTGGAACAAAGCATCTCTAAAGACCTTTTTGGCATTTTTCCAAGAGAAGGGCTGCAGAAATGAGCATTTCTGAAAATGCCCCTGCTCATTACTCCATGAACTGGGGACACTAGACATGGCAGAGCCATTGGCTTGCACTGGGGCCAGGCACCAATGTATTCATCTAACAGTAAGTAGAAAGGTGAGTTCCGCCTTGGAAAACAAAGAAAATCATGAATTTTTATGAATTTACTGACGCTAGGAAGATACTTAGAGAACCAGCTCAATGAATAGCATTGGAATTACATCTTCATCAACTGGAATTTTCAACTTAATTGGAAACTTTACAACTCTCTGCCAGTGACACTTAGTCAAGATTTTGCTTTCAGAAGAAAGAGTTCTATTTTGTGTTGACTGTGGACATTTTTGGAGGAAAGCAAGCAGTCTTTGAAACTTGGTACTCGTGGGTTCTGGGTCAGTTCTAGACAAATTAACATTTCTTTGTTGGGGTTTAACTCTTCTGAATTTAGCCATGCAAAAACAAATCTAACACTGCAGAGAATATATAAACTCTTTTACAGTTCTGATACCATTTCACATATTACATTAATGACTGGTCTCTTAGTTGACGTTTATGTTAAATATACATTGGACAAAAGAAAACAGTTATGCAAACATTTGAAGAATGTGACATATATTTTAGTCACTGTGTGTTGGTCAACACCAGCATACCCATAAGTTAACATTTCCTCCCTGGGTGTCATGGACAAGACATTATTTCCACTCCTGCTGTGGCTGACCAGTAATGATGGTGGATCGCACCCAGCCTGAGAGACTAACATATATCACATACGCATTTTCACGGATCACAGAGTCCATCACCTGGCAGAGTTAAGACCAATAATCAGTGAGAAAAACAACCATGAATGTTAAACAGTCTCCAGGTAGGAAGGAGGCCAGGAAACAAACAGCTATTTAGAATTCAACGGAAGTCAAAGGGCAGGAGTTACTGCTGACTCAGGGCCTGAGTTCCCATCCCTCTGCACCAGTTGTGTGTCCCTAGGCAAATTAATAGCCCTCTCTGGGCCTCCAGTTCCTCCTCTGTAGAATGGGAGTGATCATACTTGTGCCTGCCTCCTATCCTGGCAGTACTGGATGGGTTAACACAGACAGTAGTGAAGTGCTTGATAAAGAAAAGTGCTGTCATTTTCATGAGTTATTTTAATAACTCAGGCAGCAATTACTGAGAGCCTACTGAATGCACAGCAAAGTGCTGCATATGCATGTTACTTGAATTAGAACATCTTGGCAAAAATCTGATAGTAGCTACATGAGAACGTTTATGTGTCAACCACAGCAACTCAGATTTTAAAATATCATAAACCAGGCTACTAAGTCTGAAAGGAAGGTTTCCTGGCTTAAAAGAGACAGACAGCAATTATGAATGAATGATTTGTTGACCTATTTATACCCTAGTGCAGGAGTCCACAAACTTTTTCTGTGAAGGACCAGGAAGTAGGAATTTTACGCTTCGAGAGCCATCTGATCTCCCTTGCAGCTGCTCACCTCTGCCATTGTAGCATGAAAGCAAACAGAGAAGTCTCAACAAAGGGGTATGGCTGTGTCCCAATAAAACTTTATTTAAATAAAAAAACAGGTGAGGAGCCAGACTTGGCCTGTGTGGGCCACAGTTTGCCAAATGCAATTACAACTTCTCCAAAAGTGGGATGATGCTCAGAGGTCAAGTCTATCATTTTTTTACCCCCGAGACAGTCTTCCTCTGTCACTCAGGCTGGAGTGCAGTGGCGCAATCTCGGCTCACTGCAACCTCCACCTCCCAGGTTCAAGCAATTCTCCTGCCTCAGCCTCCCAAGTAGCTGGGATTGCAGGTGCCCACCGTGCCCAGCTAATTTTTGTATTTTTAGTATATGGGGTTTTACCGTGTTGGCCAGGCTGGTCTTGAACTCCTGACCTCTCGATCTGCCCTCCTCGGCCTCCCAAAGTGCTGGGATTACAGGCATGAGCCACTGTGCCTGACCAAGTCAATCATTTTATAATAACTTTTAGAACTAGAATGAACAGAAAACTTAGTAAGTTTTTTTTGTTTTTTTTCTTCCAGATCCAGGCTGGAGTGCAGAGGCACAACCTCAGCTCACTGCAACCTCCTTTGCCTCCCTGGTTTAAGAGATTCTCGTGCCTCAGTCTCCGAGTAGCTGGGATTACAGGCGTCCACCACCATGCCCATCTACGTTTTGCATTTTTAGTAGAGACTGGGCTTGCCATGTTGGCCAAGCTGGTCTTGAAAACCTTACTAAGTCTTGGAGTTCAAGTTATCCTGAAATCATCACAAAATGCAAAGCTTTGTGGAGGCCTGAACATCATCAAGTATTCATGCATGGTTTCCAGTTGTAGAAACACAAACTGACGTGAAAACATGCCTATTTTTTTCTTTTTTTCAATTCTACATAATGCTTTTTTTCCAAAGCCATGACTGAGAATTCCTGCTGAGTCTCGGGAACACACAACTGTTCCACAAAAGCTGTTTGAGGTCATGACTCCAGCCAGCCCTGTCGCTGGACAAGTGAGGAAACTGAAATGCACCGAGGCTGAGATTGCTGGTTGAATCACTCGGGCTGGGATGGAGTCTTCATCCCCCTACTACTTGCCCTTGGGTTCCCACCCCACTGATGGTTTTCAGGTGCACCTGGAGTTAATGCCACCATGTCTCCCTCCAGCCCTGCCCAGGTGCAGAACAAGTCAATTCTAATCTGGCTCTGTGGACCATCGGGAGAGTGTGCCCTTGAACCCAGGTTGCTTGACTCCTGCTCAGAAAAATCTGCAGTCTACGGTGGGAAGCAGCAGTTGGTCAAATGAGGAAAGACGAAGGCTGAAGAACATACGCAGCTGGTGCCACTTGCCCATCAGTGGGTGAAAGTTCAGGCAGGGCACGCCCCACAGCACGTGGCTCCTTCCAGCAAGTGACAAATGCAATGTGGAGATTTTCCCTCTCTCTACCACCAAACCATGTACCTCAAATAAAGGGAAGTTTTTGCATGGGTCTGCAGAACAGCAGACTATATTAAGAGATGATGTGTTACAAATTAACAGAAAGCTCAAAACCACAAAAACAAAGCCTAAACAAATCCTTTTCATTTCTTTAAGGGAAGCACAAAACCTAAGAGTTCCAAGAAACCACGATGTTATTTTGAGATTAAAAATATCTAACCACCTGTAGCTTGAAGGGATGTATTTTAAGCTAATACTCACTTTGTCTACACCAGCACTCAAAATGTAATTCCCCTTTCTGTTCCATTTCAAGGCAAAGATGGGGCCTTTATGTTGGCCTAAGGTGCTGGCCAGGTTACCTGTTAGTAAAAACAAACAAACATGTTGACTTCAGTGTCGCAGGCTGTTCACTCAAGGGTTCCATCAACAGCTCCTCTTACCCAACCCCAGCACGAGGGACACTGGACTTACCATCTTCCGTCCATATTCTTGCAAAACCGTCATATGAACCTGTAGCCAAGAGTGTTCCATCGGTCTGAGGGCCAGAAAGAGACACAAACCCACAAAAACAACTTAGGAGTGGCAGCACCAAAGAAGCTCAGAGACCCTCTCCCAGGATCCCAGTACACTGGAACCATTTGCCACTGCGTGTTCTTTAATGACAGAATTAAAAATACCATGCTGAAAGTTATCACAAGACTTTGCAGAAAATAAAAAAGCAGTCAAACTGTGTGCATCCCACATGTCAATGCATATAACCCCTGATGCTGAAATCCCAAGGTGGAGAGTCACCTTTTCTGGGCTGCACATCATCTCTCTCTAGGAGAACTACCCTGGGCCTCCCAGCCTACTTCCCACCATGAGGCCACAGGCTCATTTTGCTAAGGCATGCTCACATGCAAATATATGGCTACTGAACACACAGCTTGCTGTCTGCCAAATGCAGCCTTGTTAATAGCTCTTAGAAGCCAAGGCCGGCCAGGCACGGTGGCTCACGCCTGTAATCCCAGTACTTTGGGAGGCTGAGGTGGGTGGATCACATTAGGTCAGGAGTTCGAGACCAGCCTGGCCGACAGGGTGACACCCCATCACTACTTAAAAATAAAAAAATATAAAAATTAGCCTGGTGTGGTGGCGTGAGCCTGTAATCTCAGCTATTCGGGAGGCTGAGGCAGGAGAATTGCTTGAACCCTGGAGGAGGCGAAGGTTGCAGTGAGTCGAGATCACACCACGGCATTGCAGCTTGGGCAACAGAGCAAGGCTCATCTCAAAAAAAAAGAAAAGCCAAGACCACCTCTCTGGCAGCCCCTCAGGGTGGGGATGAGCACATGGGACCGCCCGTCTCCTATGTCTGCATGGGCTCCATCCATCACTGCGGCCCTTGCCTGGTGGCTGGCAGCTTTTACCGATTTCAAAGTGCCCAGGGGGTGGAAGATGCTTACGTTCCAGTCCAGTGAGGTGACATCTTTGTTACTCGGGACATCATGGCCCCCTTCTCGTATACAGTGCCTTAACACGAGCTGGGTGGAGCACCCGTTGCTGTTCTCATTCAGGTTCCATATCCTTGCAGTTGAGTCTCCAGATCTGCAGAATAAAAACACAGGAGCCTCTGGTGTTTGGTTCAAATGGGATAAGAAGCTCTCCACTGCTTGCTCTCTGGCCAGATGGCATCTTTGGCACGTGCTCTTCTGTCCTTTTCATACTCTGGATCCCTGTTTCCCTCCTTGCCATCTTTGTGTTTGGTAATTTTAAATGCCTTTGTGTTCCTTATCACCCCATGGAGAAAATGACTTGGAACTATGGCTTCTCCACAATATGACACACATAGAGAAGTAGCTCCAAGAACCGCCCACTCCCGGGTCTGCCCACACTGGGGTAAGATGGGGAGTGTGTGTTCCTTAAGGCAGAACCCCAGAGAAGGGTAAGCAGCTCCCATCTCCCCAACCCTGGAGTGCCCCCATCCTGACATCCTTACCCAGATGCAAGCAAATCACTGACAGGGTTCCAGGCACAAATGAACACCTCAGACTCATGGCCCCGGAGGACTGTGGCTTTGTTGGATGGAATCTCAACCTCTCCATCTACTTCCATTGGCTTCACGTGATTATCTGTCATAGGAAACACAGAGAGATAAGTGGCTTACCAACACAAGAGAAACGCTCTTAAAGGGCGCTGTGGTTTCTGGAAACATCTTGTTTTTATGTACCAAGTAACACTACCTCTGATGATTCCTTTTCTTTTCTTTTTTGAGGTGGAGTCTTACTCTGTCGCCCAGGCTGGAGTGCAGTGGCGCAATCTCAGCTCACTGCAACCTCCAACTCCCAGGTGCAAGCAATTCTCATGCCTCAACCTCTCAAGCAGCTGGGATTACAGGCGTGTGCCAAAACACTGGAGTAATTTTTGTATTTTTAGTAGAGACGGGGCTTCACCATTCTGCCAGGGTTGGTCTTGAACTCCTGGCCTCAAGTGATCCGCCTGCCCCGGCCTCCCAAAATGCTGGAATTATAGGCATGCGTCACCGCGCCTGGCCGACCTCTGATGATTCTAGGGAAATCCTGGCTTTAGTGCAATTTACTAAATATTTTAGATTTCTTTATATTTTGACAGTCTTTAAATTTTTGAGGAATAGAAACAGTTTGCTAAGTGCAGTGGGTCACACCTAAAATCCCAGTGCTTCAAGAGGCTGAAGAGGGAGGACTGCATGAGACCAGGAGCTCAATAGCAGCCTGGGCAACACAGCAACACCTCATCTCTATAAAAACAAAACAAGAAGTTAGCCAGGCATGGTGGTGCACACTTGTAGTCCCAGCTACTTAGGAGGCTGAGGTGGGAGGGTCACATGAGCCCAAGAGGTTGAGGCTGTAGTGAGCTATGATTGTGCCATTGCACTCCAGCCTGGGTCACAGTTATTCTTTATAACTGGGGCCAGCTAACTGCAGCCCCTGAACTACGTCTAGTCTCTGGCTGCTTCTGCATAAATAAAGTGTGACTGGCACGCAGCCGCTCCTCATGTTGTCAAATGCCTGTGGCTACTGTTATCAGCTAAATGACGTCCCCCTAAAATTCACATCTTGAAACCTCAATTTCTAGGACCTCAGAAGGTGGCTGTATTTGGAGACAGGGTTTTCAAAAAGGTGAGCAGGGTAAAAGGAGGTCACTAGGGTGGACTCTAACCCAATAGGACTGGTGTCTTATAAGAAGAGGAAATCAGGACACAAACACACCAGAAGAATGAGCACAAGAGGACATGGAAAAAAGATGGTCTCTATAAGCAAAGGAGAGAGGCCTCGTGAAGGAGCTAGGCCTGCCCACACCTTGATCTCAGACCTCCTGTCTCCAGAACTGTGAGAGCAAATTCTTAAACTGCCTGGTCTGTGGCCTTTTGTTACGGCAGCTGGGCTGACTCTCGCAGCTGCTTTTGCACTACAACAGACTTGAGCAGCTGTGACAGAGACTGCATGACCCTCAAAGTCTGAGACATTTACTGCCTGTCCCTGTAAGAAAGTTTGCTAGCTCCTGGTTTATCCTTATGAAAAAGCAGCAATAAGGCTGGGTAGCGGCGGCTCACGCCTGTAATCCCAGCACTCTGGAAGGCTGAGGTGGGTGGATCATGAGGTCAGGAGTTCGAGACCAGCCTGGCCAATATGGTGAAACCCCGTCTCCACTAAAAATACAAAAATTAGCCAGGCTTGGTGGCGTGTACCTATAGTCCCAGCTACTTAGGAGGCTGAGGCACAAGAATCGCTTGAACCCGGGAGGTGGAGATTGCAGTGAGCCAAGATTACACCACTGCTCCCCAGTGAGGGAGGGAGGGAGGGAGGGAGGGAAAATGCAGCAATACAGCCTGATGATCAAACAATTAGCCATGGGTAACAGTTTCACAATATGGTGAGGAATTGAGCATGCTTTGCTGTATGTCTTTTGTAAAGGTGCTTTGGTGGAAAACCTGGGGAACAGAAGCAATGTGATCTTAGGTTACCTGCCACTGAGTAAGGAGTTTTGTTTATGTAAAAAATAAGGAAACGCCTGGTGGTCCTGCTTGGCTCAAGAAGCCTGATACAAAAGATTCAAACAGCAATGGGACTTTTGGTGTTTTTTCCATGCTCTGAAAGTGTCATCTGGCTGGAAGAGAGGAAAAACATCTTTCTGTGTGTGGCAGATCCACCATCCCTGGAGATGGTAAGACAGAAACTAGCATCCTAGCCAGCCACGCAGTGGCAGAGGGCCTGGTAACTCCAGGCAGGCATGGCAGCCAGTATTTTTATTCTTATCAAAATGCAGCCTTCCAACGCTCCTGTCTCCACAGACTGGGCTGTGGGTCAGGTCGGAGTAGCTGTTCCGGAATTTCAACTGGGGTGAACTGGCCACATGCACAGAGGAGGGGGGCCAGACTCTTCTTTTCCTTCCCCACAATTGTGGACCTTATCAACAGAAGGCTTCTGAGAGGTCTTTCCCTTTTATCTGAGGCAGGTGGCCTTCTGTCACCCTACTGCAATAGAAACGTTGTTAACAATCTGTGAACCTTCCATTCAATGTTGAATCTGATTCTCCAGAGAATTTGTTAGCTGGTGCCTGTGGATGGTAACTTGCCACAGGGCTTGACTCGGGCAGCAGCCAGCTGGCCCTCTACACACGAGAAAGTTGTGGAATTGAGATGTACCAGGTTAAGACACCAAAGTCATCGTCAGCTCAATCTTCAAGGACTACTGGGCTAAATGGCTGCTCCAAGGAAAACAACTTTCTTTTTTAAGACAGAGTCTTGTTCTATCGCCCAGGCTGGAGTGTAATGGCGTTATCTCAGCTCACTGCAACCGCTGCCTCCTGGGTTCAAGCTATTCTCCTGCCTCAGCCTCCAGAGTAGTGGGAATTATAGGTGCCCACCACGACGCCTAGCTAATTTTTGTATTTTTAGTAGAGACAGGGTTTCACCATGTTGGCCAGGCCGGTCTCAAACTCCTGACCTCAGGTGATCCACCTGCCTTGGCCTCCCAAAGTGCTGGGATCACAGGCGTGAGCACCAGGCTTGGCCAGAAACAACTTTCAAATAAGGAAGAACACGCGCGCGCGTGCGCGCGCGCGCATACACACACACACACACACACACACACACACACAACTACACCATGCACGGGTGCACAGACACCCAGACACACACGCACAAGCACAGGCAGATATATACATGTACAACATACATATACACACACGCATACTTACGCGTGCACACACACACACACACGGTATGCCATGCGCGGCACACATGCTTGCTCTGAACTTACACCTTGATGTGGCATCTCTACGGGTTTCTAGATCAGTATGTCTAAATGGAGGAGGTTCTCTGGGTGGAAATTTGGGCTGTCTGACTTGCCACATACTTGTGGGCAATCACCTGATAGGGACTGATGTTCTAGGGTTTTGCAAAGACCAAATAAGCCTATGTGCAGTGTTTGGGACCCAGTGCCCTTGGCAGAAACTGAGTGAGCTCAATGATTATACTCAACGTGGAAGGCTGGAGGCTGAGACTAAAGGTGTCCACGAATGAAATACTTTTGTGTATCATGGGCAATAATCATGTGTTAGAAGAGAGTTCTCAGGTTAGCAGCGCAGCAACATTTCCCAAAGTTGAAGATGAGGGTAAAGAAGGTCAGGTCAGGCTGGGCACGGTGGTTCACACCTGTAATCCCAGCACTTTGGGAGGCTGAGGTGGGCAGATCACGAGGTCAGGAGTTCGAGACCAGCCTGGCCAAAATAGAGAAACTCTGTCTCTACTAAAAATTCAAAAAATTAGTCAGGTGCGGTGGTGAGTGCCTGTAATCCCAGCTACTTGGGAGGCTGAGGCAGGAGAATTGCTTGAGCCTGGGAGGCGAAGGTTGCAGTAAGCCAAGATCGCACCATTGCACTCCAGCCCAGCAACAGTGTGAGATTCTGTCTCAAAAAAAAAAGAAGGTCAGGTTCAATGGTTGTGATGGAAAAAATGGAACGGGAAGTTCTTCCAGCCAGATCATAAGCAAACACTAGAGGGCAGCTTCTAAGACATTTATAGCAGGCAGATTTCTAAGAAGCCATTCAGATTTGCCCAGATTCAGAACAATGAACCCAGAGAGACCCACCGAATTCCCAGAGCCCCCGCACTCACTGATATCATGTGCTCTGATCTCTTCCCCATTCACCGGGGTCTGTGCATTCTTTGGTGGGTTTTGCTGGGAAACACCGGCTGTGGTTGAGGTGGCCGCCGAGGCTGCTGCACTGGCTTGCTGCTGAGCGAGCTTCTCTCGGAATGCCTGCTGCCGTGTCTGCACCACATCGGGCATCACAGCGTCTATCAGTGACAGGGACTCTATGGGGCGGCCGTCGAACACTGTGCCATCCTGGGGAAGCAAGCCAAGTGACAGTTGTCAGCCCACGTGGGTGAGGTCTCTGGGAATGGCCTCTGCTCTCTGGGCAGGAGAAATGCAGGAAGGTGGAGCATAAACAGCTGAGTCCCAGCAACCAGGGGGCTGAGGGGGAAGCACATGGACCTGGAGGCTGAGAGCCTGGGGTGAAGAGATCCCACAGTGGGCGGGGGGACAGGGAAGGTGACATGGCAAACTGTCGGTAAGAACTAAGTATGACAGCTGTTCTGAGTGTCAAACTCGGGGGGGGGGGGGCGTATTGCAGACAAAAAGGCCATTTATTCTTGACAGAAAGTGCTATCCCTGAGGCCATGATTCTCAACGGGGGGTGACTACCTCCTCGGGGGACCTTAGGCAACATCTGGAGACATTTTTGGCTGTTACAACTAAGGGAGGAGGGGTGCTCCTGGCATCTGGCGGATGCCCAGGACAGCCCCACCATGGAGACTTATCCAGCCCCAAATACTGTGTGCTGTGGTGGGGAAGCCCCGCCCAGGTGCTATCGCCCGTGTGCACCATGTCTGCAAATGACCAGCCATGATACGGGAGGGTAATGCTTTGGAAGCAGAGCCCTATGAGATGGCCGTACCATTCAGGATTGGATTCTGGGTCCATCTATCCATGGGATTTAATAAAATAGGCACTTGCTACTACAGCTAGTGCTCGACTTACGACCACGGTCGGGACCGCGGACCAGTCGTAACATGATTTCGTCATAAGTTGAGTAGGCTATATGTACAGTTGAAATGGTGCATGCAGAGATGGCAGTGCTGCCGGAAGCTGGTCCACACTGTCGTACACCCAGAAGGGCAACGTTTGCGCTGCCTGACGCAGAGCAGTCGTGGCTAGCGATTGTGGTCGTAAAGTCGAATGGTCGTAAGTTGCATAGGTGGTAAGTCGATCAATACCTGTACTTGAAATGACTCCTTGGGTTCAGGGTTAGACTAACTATAGCCATGACACAATCGACATCATTTCAATTCATGATTTTTTGAACATCCTTTGATTCTCTGATTTCCATTTACCATAAAAAACTTTCCACACATATTTAAAAATACAGCAGGAAGTTCTTTCCTTGGGAAGCATGCCAGATATTCCAATCAGGTGAACCTCACTATGCCTCGGGGTTGTATCTGGTGGAAGTGCAAATGCATTTTTATATGCTCTGAACCTGAATTACCTCCAAAATGAGGAAAAATGGAAAGGCTCAGGTTTCAGCTGAAGGATAACTAAATAAAACATCACCCCAGATGATTTCTGGGAACTAGCTGCATCAACCTCTTCAGCCACTCTTCGCCCTTGATTCTGGTCATGGAGTGGGCAATGGTGACCAACTGGTCAAGATGCTTCCACACCCCCTTCCTCCTTCATATGTTCACACCCAAATGAACAAGCATATCACAAAACGCGGTAACTGTCCAAGGTCGTAACAACACGTCCTCATTTCACCTACGAGGGAACATTCTCTCTCTCCTCTTTTCCTTAGAGACAGGGTCTCACTCTGTCATCCAGGCTGGAGTGCAGGAGCACAGTCACGGCTCATGGCAGCCTCAAACTCTTGGCCCAAACTGATCTTCCTGTGTTAGCCTCCAGAGTAGCTGGGATTACAAGCATGCACCACTGCACTTGGCTTATTTTTTTATTTTTTGTAGAGACAGGGTCTTGTTATATTGCCCAGGCTGATCTAGAACTCCTGGCCTCAGGCAACCCTCCAACCTTGGCCTCCCAGAGTGCTGGGATTACAGATGTGAGCCACTGCCCTTGGCGTGTCTCACTTTTTAATGATTAGAAACCACTGTGACAAATGGGATGGTCTCTCATTGGCCTCTGGAGTGCTGGAATCTGGAGTGCTGAGGAAAGGAAACTATGAAGGCTTCCCGACAGATGAGAGGTAGCAGGCAATGAGCAGAGAAAAACAGTCACGGGTTTCTTGAGATCTGGCTGGACCTTGGGGACATGTCCTCTTAGCCACACACGTGTGTGTTTTACAGATGAGGAAACTAGACAGGGCCAGAAGGAGTCAGTGGAAGATCCAGGGCACCAAGTGTGAAGAAGAGAAAGAGGACATGGCTGGTTTGCCAGGGAAAAAGGAGCACAAGAGAGGAAAAAACACCAGAGCTTTCAAAGTCATGGCTTTCAGAAAATGGCAGGCAAAAGGGCAAGAAGGAAAACAGGAGCTGGGCACAGCGGCTCACGCCTGTACTCCCAGCACTTTGGGAGGCTAAGGCGGGAGGATTGCTTGAGCCCAAGAGTTTGAGACCAGTGAGACCTTATCTCTACAAAAAATAAAAAATTATCCTGGCACGGTGGCGTGTGCCTTTTAAGTCCAAGCTGCTCAGGAGGCTGAGGCAGGAGGATCATTTGAGCCAGGAGTTTCAGGCTGCAGTGAGCTATGATTGTACCACTGCACTCCCACCTGGGTGACAGAAAGAGACCCTGTCTCAAAAAAAAAAAAAAAAAAAAAAAAAAAAAAAAAAAAAAAAAAAAAAAAAAAAAAAAAGAAAAGAAAAGAAAAAGAAAACAGAATATATTACTTTGTGATTGTCTAAGAGTTTTTTAAAAGGTAAAGAGAAAGCAGTGTAACATGCTGTGAAGGAGAAAGGTTTGGAAGGGCGAGAGCAGTTCCCAGGAAGACGAGACAGAGGGAATCCTGGAAGAATGTGACTGCCACGTGGGATGGATCATGGTACACTATGGAAAACTTGGGTAGAATCACATTCCTCGGTCAGAGCAGGAGAAAGAGGGGCAGAGGGAGGAAGCTGGGGTGATTGAGCAATCAGTAACAGGGACTTTCTTTGGTCCCAGTGCTTTGGGAGGCTGAAGCAGGAGGATCACTTGACCCCGGAAGGTCGAGGCTGCGGTAAGCCATGATCGTGCCACTGTACCCTAGCCTGGGCAATAGTGTGAGACTCAGTCTCTAAAAATAAAATAAGAGAGACTCAGGTGAAGGTGGCAGGAAAGGCTGTGGATCCCAGAAGTCAAGGGGATCTTCATTGCAGAATCATGAGACCAGAATAGGAGGGAACAAGAGAGGACAAGATGTGTGGTTTAAAACCAAAATTGGTATCAAACTGGCACAACTTCTCACTGTGGGCCAATCTAAAAAGGAGGAGGGGATCCAAGCCAAGTGCATAATTTTAATGTGCGTTTATTTTCCCATCCCCTTACCCTATCTGTTCTACAACGAGCCCGGTAATGAAAGCATCCCATGAGATCCTCGTTAACACAAGAGCCATTGCCTCTCTGCCCTGATGCAGCCTCTGGTGATGCTCTCTGTGGGGTTCCCCCAAAATACAGATTCCACCTGACCACGTGTGGGGCCTCTCTCTAGCCAGTCTGCTCCAGGAAATCAAAGACAGCAAATCTGCTAAGTGCAAGGCAAACGTCCACTCCGAAGCCCAGAGCAGCTGAAGATCTGCCGCATCTTTTTCAGATGTGGCAGTGTAATTGTTTACATGAGTCAACAGCCAATGAGTCTATATTTAACTAAAAAACCCAGAACCATGTGGGAGGGGCACCGGAAGCTTGCTTGTGTGTCATCCCTGATCAATAAGGTATTAACACAAAGTGGGGAAAAAAACCAACTTCCTTTCTTCTTTTTTAAATTTTATTTTAGAGTCTCACTGTGTTGCCCAGGCTGGAGTGTAGTGGCGCAATTATAGCTCACTGAAGCCTCAACCTCTCGGGCTTGAGTGATCTGATCCTCTCAGCTCAGCCTTCCAAGAGCTGGGGCTACAGGTGTATACCACCACACTGAGCTAATTTTAAAATTTTTTGTAGAAATGATGTTTCACCATGTTGTCCAGGCTGGTCTCAAACTCCTGGGCTCAAGTGGACCTCCTGCCTCAGCCTCCCAAAGTCCTGGGATTATAGGCATAAGCCACTGTGCCCTGCCACTGAATTGATCCCAAATGCCTGAGGGATATGCACGTTAGTTTCCAATGCGTTCCAAGCTCTTGCAGCTTCCCGGGGCTCTGCTGTTTGGGGACCGAGCCTGGCAGCTACATACCTCATTGATACTGATCTCGGCCTCTACATACTGCAGGCCCTTCTGGAGAATGGAGATGAGGGCAGCCGGCGGCACTAGTGTCCCATTGATGTTGGACTGGCTGATGTGGCTCTCGATCCCGAATGTGAAAGCCGAGTGGGAAAAACCTGCAGCAAGAGGGGAAAGCCGAGGCTGAATGAGGCCTGAATTGACGGAGGGAGGTGCAGCCGTTGAGATCTGAAGGTGGCCTGTGGATTTCAAATACACTTAATTTGTGGGGACAGACATGGCTGTAGAATGCCCAGAGATACTTCTGATTTGGGTTCAGTAAGGTAGGAAAAGGCAGAGGGAGAAGGAGGGATTTCAGACCCAGGAAGACCAGGTTGGTATGTGATGAAACAAGGGCCTTGAATGGTAGACCCGTTTCAGTGTTATTAATAATAAAACAGAAAACAGACAATAGAGTTTGCCCTGCATGCCTCAGTTGGACATATCTGTTAACTGAAATTTGGCTCCAGACTCCCCCCAACTCTGCGGTTCGTATGCCTCTACAGAAGCTCATGCTGAAGCCTCTCTGTGTCACCCCCTGCAAGCACACAGGGCACCTTTCCTCAGCCCAAGATGAGGGAACAGCAAACGCTGACTCTGAGTGCTCCCAGCACGTGGGGCAAGTGCATCACAACCCAACATCTGAAGACGGAGAAGAGGCCGATCTCGACTGACTGGTGTGGCGCTGTCATTTTCTCCAAACACTGGCAATTTTCTCCTTGCTAATAGATGCTGGCTCTTTTCCTTTCCACTGTGTCTCTTTCACTGCTGCTGTAGGAAGCTGCTGATCAATGATGCTTGGCAATTTAAAAGTGTTTTCAGATCAGCTTTGGATGAAGGCTCTTAAAGGAAGCTGTTGGGAAGGGGATCAGGACTGAATACACAGAAAGCCATCCCTTGCTCTTGGGGATGATGCCTGCTTCAAGGGAAGAAGGCAACGACACTGGGCATGCATGTGGAGGTCGGCGGGGTGATGGGAAAGCTGCAACAGCCCTTCCTAAAGGAGAGGGAGGGAGACGGCATCCTATTGCCAGCAAGTCTAGGCTGCTGCAGGGAGTTTCCTAAAACAGGAAGCCTGGCAGGGCTGGGTCACTTTGCTTGGTGCAGAGGCGGACTGGGGGTGTACAGGAGCTTGAAATCCTTGGGAATTGTAGGTCATGGGGGGATCTCATGTGAGGAACATGGACCCCCATGCTTGCCTCCCTGCTAACAGGTGGGACAGACACCAAGGCATTCCCATGGTATGGCTTTCAAGTCTCACACTGTTTACATCCTCCACGGATGAGGCAAATGAGCAAGAAGCAGGGAGTTCTGAAAGTGGCCATTTTACCTCCCTGGTTAGGCCACTCTGCAGGTTGAGGATCTGGTTATCCCAGGAGATGGGACTGTCAGCCTCGCTGGGCATGTGCTCCTCTTTGCTATCTTTCATTCAGCCAAAGGGGGGCAGTGGCAGCCGGCTTCCCTCTGCTTCCACATCAGTGGCCTTCTGCCTCTCCTTATCCAAATACAAACTGACCTTGCAATAAACAAAATGCTCGCCAGATGGGAATGTTCGTTCCTCCAGGAGAGGAGCTCTGCGCCTTGCTCTCCTTGCTGCTTTCTGATACTTCACTTTTCTCTGTCTACTCCCTCCTCCTCAATCCACCCTCTGTTCTGTCCCCATCTCCAGGTTGTAAAGAGCGTATCAAATGTGTAGTTGACATTTATCTAATAGAGCAATAGGGTAGCTGCTATTAATTTTACAATCAATTGCACAGGGTCTTGTATATTTCTTTACGAAACTAACCGCCTCCATTAGGTTGCAAAGGAGCCCTTTACAGGTTCCCCTATCCCCAAGGGTTCCTCCACCCCTGTGTTTTTGGAAGATATAAACCAAGGTTCTTTACAACAACCTTATCTTTTCCTTCTCACTTATTTTCTCTCTCTCTATCCACCTTCCTTTTCCCCTACCCACTCCTACCAAAATGAAGCAACCCACCTTGGATTCACCAATGACTCTATTCTCTGCCATGCTATACAGAGTTTTACCTGCAAGCTTTTATCATTGAGATCTTTGGCAAAGTGTGGAATAGAAAAACTTCAGTCAATGAATAAAGCAGGACCTCACTGCATTCTTCGCCCAACGCTCTATTGCATGGACTCTTCCTTATCTACTCCGGGCCACAGTGATTCCTCTCTCATAGACATCATGACCCTCATGGCTGGTAGGAGCCACTCACCTGGCTCCTACTCAATGGCTTTAAGTCTCTCAACATCATTCTGTCACTGTCCTTTTTTCCTTGATGAATCAGGTCCCTGAGATCTTTTGAGGGTAACTGACAGGTTCCTGTTGCTCAGTTTGCAGCGCGGGGGGGCGCTGAGATCCAAGCCTGGGCAGCCAGAAACTATTCTTAGCCACCATGAAACAGCGTCTAGAAACATCTACCGAATGCACCAGAATCCAGCATTAGGTGCTGATGAGGGTTCCTGACAAGCAAACCTCATGGCTGATTGAACAATTGTGGAAGGAGAGTCTCATGCTCCTGGCATATTTTATTCATCTACTCTCACTCATTCATTCCCACAAGCAGCACTGGGCCACAGAACTATACCTGCAGTCATATGCTCTGTGAAACAGAGCCGATTCTGACCACATTACCACCTTCAACCAAACCTGGGCACTCTGTGCACTACCTTAGTCTCTGCAGCAGCTGTTCAGAGTGGGTACTGTTTTTGTTTCACATATGAGGACAAACACTGGAGACATCAGGTAACTCGCCCACAGTTTATGTGATAAGGGGCTGAACTAACTGTGAACCATACAGACCATGTGACTTTGAAATTCTGTTTTTTACTTTACCCTCCAAGACCCACAGGCACAGAAACCAAAATTCTTGAATTATCTGCATGGACACAGACTCCATTTCCAACTGGCTGCTCAGCTAGACCACCGATAGCTCTGAACAACAGCCAGCTTAGGTGCAGCTCAGGCAACTTGCAAAGAATGGTGTGCAAAGCTCAGTCTAACCCACGGTGGGAGTGTGCCCTTGATTTCTCTCTCATCTGGGTTTTTAATGTTAAGAACATGGTTTGGCTGTAGAGAAATTCATAACTTCATTTCTCTACATGACTATGCTCTCCAACATCGATTTCATTTCTAGACCATGTGGACAACGGTATTCACATTCGATTAAGCCTTCTTGGAACAAGGAGATGAACCAGTAAAGATGGATGAAGGGTGCGGAGTTTCAGACTTCTGCAGAGAGCTGAAAGTTGTCTGCTGGAAGGCATATCCCATGCAGATGCACAATGACAAAAGTGCAGAATAGTTCTACAGGGGTACCTTGAAGGTATTTCATTAGCTTGGGTCCTCTTATGGAGAGGGTAGGCTGTCATGACTGGAAGTTAGGCACTTTCATAAAGACCTGCGAGATGTACATTCCATACCACGGTTAACAGAAGTCTTCCTATTTGCTGAACTTTTCATTAGCTGCATTTCTTTGAATGGATCTCTACATGGGCTCTAGAGCAACGGTTTTTCAGTCCGTTTCTTCTAAGATTTTCTTACTGATTTCTAATCATGTGATCTCGTGAAGGCAAGGAGGAGGGCTGGGTTCTGTCCTCCATCCGCCACTGGGTGCCTGGCCCATGCCACTTCATTTGGCTGGGCCTGCATTTCCTCCTCTGCGGTGCAGGGATAAAAAGTACCTTGAAGTGCTGATGAGACACACAGATGGGACAGCAGCCAGACCCGTGACACATTTGAAGGAGAGAAGACACAGTGAGTCAAAAGGTCCCTGTCCCAGCTTTCCTTGTTGGAACAATGAGGATGGCAAATGAAATGGCTACTAGGATATTTTCTAGTTCTGATACTCGTTCTGGGACAGGAAGATGTGTGCTATGTGCTGAATGTTTGTGTCCCCCCCCAGATTGGTATGTGGGAGACAAATCCCCAAAGTGATGCTGTTAAGAGGTGAGGCCTTCATGAAGTGATTAAGTCATGACGGCTCCACTCTCGTGAATGGGACTAGTGCCCCTATAAAAGAGGCTCAAGCAAGCTACCCCATCCCTTTCACCATGTGAAAACACAGGAGGAGCCATCCACGAGGAACAGGACTTCACTGGACACCAAATCTGCTGGCGTCTTGATCTTGGACTTCCCAGCCTCCAGAACTATGAGCAAAACATTTCAGTTGTGTATAAATTACCCAGTCTAAAGTATTGGTTACAGCCCATACGAACTAATACAATGCCCAAGGACTATGTAATAGAGGCTGCTTGACCACTTTCTCTTAGGCCTGACCACTTCCTCCTAGGCCACAGTTGCTGGAACCAGGTGCCAGGGTGCTGTGGAAGGTAATGTCTTGGAAGATATGGTACGTCCAAGGAAGATGTTTCTCTTCTAGGGCCATCCCTCCCTCCACACCTGCCAGCATCCCACCCCTCCCACCTGGACTCCAGGGCTAACGGATGCATTCATTTGCAGTCTGCCAGAGTGGTAAGACTTCAGTGCCTTGTGCCTCCTCAGCTTTCCTGCATCTCTGAACACATCTCTTCTACCCAACAAGACATTCGTAGGAACAAAGACCAGAATGTCAATGATAAACGAAGCACCCAGGGCTGCCCCAGCAGCAGGTGCAGAAGTAGCTAACGGGCAGGAGAATAAAGAGCTTGGTGGTACCTCGATGAAAGATTTTGTGAGGGTGATGGGTTAGTGTCCTTGGTGTCATCAGTAGGCTAGCCTAGAGACATTCCTGAAGACAGCAGGCTTGCCACTTACTTAGGAGGTATATCCCTGATGAATCTCTTGACAGCAGGGTTTCTCAACCACAGTATGGCTGACTTTTAGGCTGAATCCTTCTTTGCTATGGGGGACATTGTACGATGCATTGTACGATGTTGAGAAGCACCCCTGGCCTCTACCCACAAGATGTCAGTAGCACACTCCCATTGTAACAACCAAAAATGTTTCCAGATATACTCCCATCAACCCTACCACGGTTGAGGAATTTACACCCTGAAAGGATACCACCCCCAGCTCTACTCTCCTCAAGTTTCTGCTTGATTCTTGGTTGTTGCTATTGAAAAAGCAAGCTACTCTCTACATGCAATTGGTCATAGACCTTAGATAACACATAGT